TCTGTCACCCAGACTGGAGTGCAGTGGCTGCCCCCAGCCACCACAGCCTCGACCTGCTGGACTCTGACAATCCTTCGCTCTTAGCCTTCCAAGAAGCTGGAACTACAGGTGCGTGCTACCATGCCTGGCTCATTTTGATTTATTGTAGAGATGAGGTCTCGCCAAGTTGCCCAGGCAGGTCTTGAACCCGCGGGCTCAGGCAATCCACTCACCTCAGCCTCCCAAAGGCACGGGATTACAGGCTGAGCCACTGTTCCCCATATCTTTAGAATAAAAAACTTAACATATGTTTTGGGAAAATAAAATTTAAATGATCCAAGTCTCTTCCTTAACAATCTTATTTGCAAATAGAATTAAACTTTACTCTGATTTTGTTTCTGCAAGAAGCTTTTTTTCCTTTATATTAAAATCAACTCTTAGCCAGGCTCGGTGGCTCAGCCTGTAATCCTGCGCCTTGGGAGGCTGAGGTGAATGAACTGCCTGAGCCCGTGGGTTCGAGACCCGCCTGGGCAACTTGGCGAGACCTCATCTCTACAATAAATCATATGGAACTCAGTTCTATGTTTCTGTGATAAATCACTGCATTTGATCGACTCCAAATTCATCCAAGTTGCTGCAAAATCCATATATTTGTCCTTCTTTATGGCTGCATAATATTCCATTGTGTGTATATACCACATTTAAAAAAATCCAGTCCAGCTTCGATGGGCAACACAGTTGATTTCATGTTTTTGCTATTGTGAATAGAGCTGCAGCAAACACACGTGTGCGGGTATCTTTTTTGCCAAATAATTTGAGTTCCTTCAGGGATAGAAAGTCAATTTCTAGTTCTTTAAGAAATCACCACACTGTTCCAAAGAGGTTGTACAAGTCTGCATTCCCACCAGCAGTGTAGAAGTGTTCCTTTTTCTCCACTCCTCCCCAACACCTGTTGTTTATTAATGATGGCCATTCTTACTGGGGTTTAGGTGGTATCTCAATGTGGTTTTGATTTGCATTTCTCTGATGATGAGTGAGGCTGAGCACTTTTTCATGTGTCTGTTGGCTGCCCATATATCTTCTTTTGAGAAGTGTCTATTCATGTGTTTTGCCCACTTTTTAAAGGGGATGTTTGTTTTTTTCCTTTTGGTGCGTTTGAGTTCCTTGTAGATCCTAAATGTTAGGCCTTTGTTAGATATACAGTTGGCAAATATTTTTTCCCATTCTGTGGGCTTTCTCCCTGCTCTCTTGATGGTTTCTTTTGCTTTGCAGAAGCTCATTAATTTGATGAGGTCACACTTGTCTCTTATTTCTTAAGATATTGGCTTTTA